AGAGAAGCATAAAAAGAAGAGTACTGTTTGAAAACGAAACCTACTCTTCTTGTTCTTGGAGGGGTTGGGATGCAAAGGCCTTTGCGCGTAATAACCCAAGTCCACCGTTAGTAAATATTGTATGCTTTGATCCATTGCATATAATCGTCAATCTTACAGTTTTAAAACACATCTGTTAAAAAGAGGTTTTCATACTTTTATAAAGAAATTTATAGTGTTTAGCTTTGATACCATTTGTAACAGCATAAGTTCACAATTAATAAATATTGTCACATTTGGCTTGTTACGTGTCACTGTCAACCCTAGGGTTTTAAAAATACATCTATTAAGAAGAGGTTTCTACGCCCTTATAAGGAATATTTCGTCATGAAAAATGAAACTACTTGTCCCCTCACTTTAAGGTAAAGAGTAAGACTTAAATTCGTCTATATTAAGGTTATAGCTCGTGTCGATGAGCTCGATTTTATATGAAGTTACAATAAACAAATGTCGAGGACACATTTGACCGACATAAAAATTTAGTTTTCAAATTTTAACCGACATAAAAACATTCTTAATTTAACCCATTTAAATTTAGCTCAACTGTCTAAATCTTTCCCTTAAAAAAAATAAAATTAAATATAATTATTGTACCGGGAAAGAAAAAACAAAAGAAATAAAAAAATAAAAATCTTATTTTTTATATATTAAAAAAAATCTATAATTTCTATCATTTCAAAGAAATGAAAATTATATTAAGCAATTTGACATCCTAACCAAATTCAATCGAATCGTTTTTTTTTTTTTTTTTTTTTTTTTTTTTTTTTTTTTTTTTTTTTTTTTTTTTTTTTTTTTTGTAATTAAGAAAAGTCAGGACAAATCAGTGAATGATAGTTTTGTATTAAAAAAATAATAAAAAACTATAAAATATAATTGATTAGATGGATAATGATTTAATTATTTGTTGCTTTTTTAACGTGACAGTTTATTCATTAAAAAATTACCATTTTTGCTACATTATAATTATATATATATATATCGATTATTTTTTATTTAATAATGAATTATTTACGAATTTAATAATGTGAATTTTCCATTAGACAATTATAAAGAAATTAACTAATTATGTCACGGAATTCAAATGCATTCAAAACGACAATTCCAACTTTACGACAATAAACATTCCAAAAGTAACTAAATAATTAAAACTAAAATAACATTTTTTCTGGGAAAAAAAAAACATTCTTGTTTCTCGTTTCTAAGCAAAAGATTATGGTTGTTTTTTTGTTTTGTTTTTTTTTTTTTAATTTTAAATATTCATAAAATTGATAGTTTTTATCTTTTATTTTTCTTTCTAAATTTTTATCTAACCTTATTTTGTTAAATTTGATCGATTTTTTATTTGTTCAGCGGAGTAAATGATTAAACCAATATCACATCCCAATGAGAGCAATCTCGTGATAAAATGACAAAGACATAAATGAAATGAAAAATTACTATGTATAACAACAAGATGCACTTTTTTCTCGATGACTTAGAAACTCCATAGGTAAGCGTGTTTTGCTTAGAGCAATTTTATGTTAGACGATCTCATAAGAATTTTCCTAATATGTATGTTATGGAGAACAAAACATGTTAAGAATCAAGTCAACCTAGGTAAAACTATAGTATTTATGTCCGGTTTTTTTTTTCTTCATATTTAAATTATTAGAAAGAAAATAAACATATTAGACCAAGAAAACATATGGAAGCTGAAAAAGGGGGAAAAAGAATAAAATTATTAAATGGGTATTTAATTAATAACATAAATGATTCTCGAAGATCATTGCTCTTAAAAAAAATTTTAATAAATTATTGAAAAATTTCAGGTGGGTATGATTTTGTCAGATGTTTTTTTTATTTTAATTTTAGAGAAGATCGTGAATTAGGTAAATTATTGAAGATCGTGCTCTCTCTTAATCCGTTTTTAATTTAGAATATGATTAGGGTGTTAAGCTCTCTAAATGTTGATTAAACAACCATACAAATCTTAATAATCTTCAAAATATTAATTAAAATAAGATTGAATTGCCAGTGAAGCATCTAAAAGGCAACCAAATATAAAATTTAGAAATTATTTGGTTGGAAAATGGACACCAAACACTTTTTCAATACGGTTTAATGAACACAAATATATTAAATAAAAAAATATGTAATTAAATGTTGGGATTTGTGTGGGATTTGGCATAAAGTGCAAAATCCCTAAGTCAAAGGATTGATTGCAAAGTCAAGTGGGTGTTGAAGGGATGCAAACAAGAAGGCATGTGGAAGTGGGGAACTTTGGTTTGGTTTTTTTCATTTTTATTTTTAAATTTATTATTAAACTTTACAATAATTTATTACGTCCACATTTAATTAATTAAATGTCTCGACGGATTTCACACCTATATTGTAAATATGCAGTCACAAATAGTTCACCTAAAGTATCATAAAAACCTCTCCACACCAATTTAAGTGTTTTACTGTATTAATATTCTTAATTAATATATTCTAAATTTAACACGATAATTATAATTTACATGTTTGAAAAATAAGTAGAAATGTCTCGACCCATTAGATTTTATATCGTTTAACAACGTATGGAGTTGGGAGATTTAAATCGTTGATTACTAGATCAAGAATGTATGTCTAAATCAGTTGAGTGATGTTCGAGTTGTTCATCTTCAGCTGATATTTTTAAAATAGTTTAAATGACTAAACTTAAAAGATGCTATTTTTATTTTATTTTCGAACAGATTATAATGAAATTAAAAAAAAAAAAACAAAAAAAAAACATCAAGGTGGCTTTCCAAATCTTTATGTTTTTTTTTAATTATTATTTATTTATGGGTGAAAATGAAAGGCGAAGAAATGAGTCAGGTCCCATAAAATGTCCCGATAGCAACAGTATGTCGATGGAAACATATATATATATATATATATATATGACAACAAAAAGAAAAATCAGTTGAATTTGAGATTTAAATTATATTTTATACTTTTTCTTTATAATATTATTTATTCTATTTTTACTTAGTTGATGAAGTTGGATTGGTTCTTTATGACTATATACATCGTATCGGAATCAGAGACTCTATTGGATCGGGACCTAACTCTATTTATTCAGTATCAATTGTCATCGGTCAAAGTTCGATTATCGATTCAAACCTACCTCGAAATAAGTTAACAAGTCTTAGGTCTTATCCCATCAATGTTACTACTCACAAACGTCTGTACATTCCCGTATTCCAAAAGAACTTATAAGAATTAAATTCATTCATTTAGGTACTCATGATGCACGAAAATGATTCAAACCCATTAAATAAAACTATTACACGTTGCATGTCGACGAGAATTTGGGCTATGGCAATATTCGAAAAGTATGTTATTGTTTAATAAATATATTTTTCATGAAATTTTGAAACATTATTTTAAATTTATGTCGAAATAATGAAAATTCATCGGGTCGTTAAGGGGTTAAAACGGTAAGAATGAAAGAAGTTTATTATTGATGGAATGAGGGACGAAATCGAGGGAAGATTGAGAGAAGACATGCAACAACCAAAAAGGTCCCATCCATTTTCCTTCTCTCTCTTCCTTACACTATCTTCTCTCTCTTCATTTTTATAATTTTTTTTTAATCATTTAACATATAAATACTCCACCTTCCTCCATAAACTCATACCCAAATTCCTCTCTCTCTCTCTCTCTCTCTCTCTCTCTAACCTTCCTCGTTTGCCTCCTTGGAAGCCATTTCTGCCATTGTTGTAAAGCTTCAAAACCAGTTAGTCTCTCTCTCTCTTCTGTGTAATACTTTGATTTTGTTTCTCTCTCTAAAAATTATGATATGGGTTTGTTCAATCATGAGGTTAATTCAGAGTTCATCGCATAAAGTTTCAATTTTTCCATATTGATGTGTTACTTAACTGATCTTTGTTTAATGGGTTTTTTTTTTTCGTTTTTGAATTGGTTTGTTTGTGCGACTGTTCTTCATTACGGGCTGTTTGTTTCCTGAGAAAATGAGAGGGAAAATGGAGAGAAAATAAGGCTAAAAACACTCCACATTTTCATTCCTCCCACTAGATTTACAAACTTTATTTCTGGGGTCAGAGAGAAAATACATTATTGAGATGAACAGTGAAGTGGAAAATGAAAGAGAGTGGGGGATTGGAGATGCTGTTCCTAAACATATGATTCTAATAATTGAGACAAAATGATTCTGCATAATTTTAAAGCAACATTTTCCCATAAAAACTGTCCTTTAAATTCATATACTAATTCTTAACCATTCAAGCAATTTATGGGATAAGAATCAAAGAAAAAGTTTAGTTCTTCCTCCACTTACTTGGGTATTAAAATATATAAGTTGATTGTTTTCATGAATTAAAAAAGAAAATTAAGATTTGTTTGAACAAATGAAAAGAAATAGAATAATGGGTTGATTGAAGTTTGGTTATATTTTATTTTTAAATAGAGATTAGGTTGACATAATTAGTTCTTACATTTGATGGTTCGCTGTCGGGGTTATTTGAGGCATTATTATTTGTTATCTATAATGGGTATCAATTAAAATGGGGTATTGGGAAGATTAATGAAATGGGGGAAAGCGGGGATTTATGGATTAGGGGATTTCTGTTTGCCCTTTTCTTAATCGGTTGTGAGGACAGAGGGATGAGCGGCGGGTACGGATCATCGCGAGTGCCACTGGGATTTGGAAGCTTCGGAAAGGAGGTCGTGTCATTAATGGAGAGGGCATAGAAAAGGAAACACCCGATTTGATCTTATCTCACTTGCTCCATAGTGATTATTTTAATCTCTCTCGTTCCCCTTCCCCTTTCCCTCCCCCCTATTTCTGGTGCTTTCTTTTGAGAAATGGACGCGTTTCACTCAACTTGGATTCTTCCATATCTTCTCTGTATGAATCCAGAACCGTGCGAAGTTCATACGGGGCGATGAGGGAGGGCCGAGGATATGGTGATGCCTTTTCTCCTTCTTTTTCTCTTTTTCTTTCTCGTTTCTGATCCTCTGTTGCTCTGTTTTGTTTGGATCTGTTGTCCCGTGAGTTTCTTCTTATGAATCTGATTCGTTTTCTCAAAACCTGATCGATAAGAGATCGACCCTTTTCGAATAGCGACGTTTAATGCCTAGGTTTTGTTATTGTCTACGAGATTTCTACGGTTTTGGGAAAAATATGAGGATTCTTCGCATATAATGGGAAAGGGGAGAGACCCTTTTCGATTAAGCTAAATATATGAACGGATTAGAAAGAACCCAGACTCCAATGTTCTTGTTAGCGCTGCCAATAAGAGCCCCAAAACATACCCAGAATCCAGGAACATGAGTCGATCGCTTGCCTAGCCCATTGCATCTAAATTATGTGTGATTTGAACAAAAGGGTTTAGCTGCTGCATCAACCCCTGTGAATTTAGCCGAAGTTTCTGGAAAAATCATGGGTATATTATAGGTGAGGGAGGATATCTCCATTGATTAGTGATGTTTTGAGTGATTCTAAAAAGGAAATTTATGAGAGAAACAATACCTTACCATTCAAACGTTGATGTTCCTAAACAGAGCGATAAAAGAACGCCTAGATGGTTTAGGGCGTTGGTAGATGTGGCTTGTGTCTGTAGCAGAGGGAGCTTTCGCAGACACTCTGTCTGCTTCTCTTTTCGCCTTTCCTCTTTATATTGCTGTAATTTGTCCATTAAATGCTTCGTTTCGAGCACTCAAAAAGGCTATTATATTGATGCTGAGCTGAACCCATCTGTTTTTTTTTCACTTTCGACAATTTAATAACTTAAATCTCTCTTTATTCTCTTCTGGGTCTTAGGATTTGGCTTTATTTGCGCGTTTCTTGTAACTTTCCCATCTGGGTTTGGCTTCAAAACGTGAAATAGCTTCACTAGATCAAGCATCATTTCTGAGAAACCTCACGATCCATATTTCCAAATGGGTTTCTCTAACTTGATGTAATTTAATTTCCTTCATTCAATGAATATAATGTCTGATACCCATTTTAATTGGTTGCTCACATAGATTGGTGCGCTTTGCAGATAAGTAGGCGAGCACAGAGTGGCTGCAGAAGCACAACAACAGCCAGAGGCTTCTGCTTATCGGACCGCGCCGCTCTTGTTTGTCGCTCGTGCGCTTACAATTTCAAACACAGATCTCGAGGCCCTTTTACTCTTGGCTATAACAACTGACATCTGTTTTGCTTTTACACCATTTTTTTTGTTCCTTCCCCCGCCATTTTCTCTTATTTATTTAGAGGCCAATCTTCCTCCTCCATTGGGTTTGAGCTCAATACAAAGCACTTGGATTAGTTTTTTTGGGTTTGTTTTATACTTTGCTCAAAGGCGTGGGGATTGACTCTTGAGAAGTTGCATCAGCCATAATCTTAGCCGGGTCGGTGACACTCTGTTGAATATTGCTGTTGCTTTGCAGTGATCTCGAGGTATAGCCTTCGAACCTTGCTTCCTTGGGCTGTGTTTCCTGTATTTGATTATTCCAATCACTTCCATTTGTTTTGTATAGTATTACTGGATGAAACTCGGGCCGTGATAATTGGATTACGTGCAAATATTATAGAAGTTGCTGAGTTCTTTCCTTTGCTCTCTTGTAGAATTGTTAAGTGTTTGGCTTTTGATGTGGAATACTGCTCCTCGATCAAGACATGCTGAGCTCTGATGGAGATGCAGATGTTTTCTTCGACTCAGAAGATTACTTGCCATTGGAGGAGTCCTTGGTAACCGAAGAAGTCGATGTGAGCAAGTCGGGATATGAAATATGGATGAGAGAGCCTCAGAGCATTAAGAAGAGAAGGGAATATTTTCTTCAAGAAGTTGGTTTGAAAGAATTTGCATCTTCTTCAAGTACTCGTACACAGGATTCAGAGATTGAATCTAGTTGTTCATCAGGGAGGATGGAATTGGAGAGACTCACAGAGTGTAGTGGAGCTGTTTCAAGCTCTGACTATGCACCTAGCTGTAATGTAGTAGACAATGATTCAGTAGTACACCACAATGATATGCAAAGTGATGAATTCAGCAACGAGGCAAACGAGGCAACCAGTCGACCATCTTCTGTTTCCAACTCCAGCTTTCAACGATGCCAAGGTGAAGCTAACGTCGAAGCTTGCAAGGATATCGATGCGAGAAAAAAGAAAATACTGACTTGGTGGAAATCCTTAAAAAACAAGGCGGCAAGACTACGAGCTATGGAGTTTTCTGAGGAATCAAAATCAAATCCTGCGAAATCCGAAAGTTGCAGAATGAAGGTGTGCCAAAACAAAAAGAAGTTTTCAGAATTTAGTGCATTGTATATGAGACAGCAGATTTGTGCACACAAGGGCTTGATTTGGACAATGAAGTTTAGTCCAGACGGGAAGTATTTGGCAAGCGGAGGAGAAGACGGAGTCGTTCGCATTTGGCGTGTAACACGTACAAATGCCTCTAGTGAGTTTTTAGCAAATGACGCCACAAGAGAAGGGAAGTCTAGTTTCAGCAGTAAACCGTTAAGATTTGCCACTGTTGTCATTCCTGCTAAGGTTTTTCAGATAGATGAGTTGCCAATACAAGAATTCCATGGACATTCAAGTGATGTCTTGGATATAGCTTGGTCTACTTCAAACGTAAGACATCTGTGACAAATGTATATTTTTTTTCGAACTGTTGAAGAAACGAAGCTAACTCGAACTTCTTGCTGCAGTGTCTTCTTTCATCCTCAAAGGATAAAACCGTGCGCTTGTGGCAAGTTGGTTCAGATCAATGTCTCAATGTTTTCCACCATAAAAACTACGGTAAGTTGTCGATTCCTGCGTCTGTTTCAATCATTTACAGGTCGCATTCTCTTTTCTAAACTGTTATTACTTCCTATATTGGAACCAGTTACTTGTATCCAATTCAATCCAATGGATGAAAACTACTTCGTCAGTGGCTCAATCGATGGAAAAATTCGGATTTGGGGTGTCTTGAAGCAGCGTGTGGTCGATTGGGCTGATATCCGAGATGCAATTACCGCGATATCTTATCAACCAGATGGGAAGGTGCGAATTGTGAACTCTCACAAAATACGTTAGTAACAATTGCCATATGCAGGGCTCTGATCATGCTTTGTTCTTCATGTTAGCAGGGGTTTGCTGTTGGTTCTATCACTGGCACTTGCCGTTTCTACAAAACATCAGGTACAATCCGTGGTGCATCCCTCACAATGTTATTCAGTGTGCAGATTTTGCCTCCTCCAATTCTTTTACTGAGTTTTATGGCGTTCTGTAGGTGATGATTATATCAATCTGGATGAACAGATCAATATTGGCGGTAGAAATAAAGCATCGGGTAAAAGGATCACTGGCATTCAGGTTTTACTCAGAACTTCGATAGTTTCGCTGAAGAAAATATGATCTTTAAATAACGTTGCCTCAATTTGAAACCTGTTCTCTGCAGTTTTTCCGAGAGAACTCTCATAGAGTGATGATAACTTCGGAAGACTCTAAAGTACGCATATTTGAAGGAACCAAAATTGTCGGCCAATACAAAGGTACGTATCGAGTTCGATCGGCTCTCTTATGGCTCATTAGAATTCGTTTTACTGGATAATCGCTCCTTCCAAGCCCACCTCCTGGTTGTCATTGCTCAATCAATTAGGAATTTTCCTAGCTTAGTTCCTTCCCGCTTCAATCTTCTATTATCCCGGATTCGGCTTCAAGTTTTAGATGACTTGTAGTTCATTGAATCTTTAAGGTCTAGATGCTTACCTGCTGGTTTTCGAAATGTAGGTCTATCGAAGTCGGGTAGTCAGATGTCTGCTTCCTTTACAGAAAATGGAAAACATATAGTATCTGTTGGAGAGGACTCTCGTGTATATATGTGGAACTACGATAGCGTTGGTCTTTCGTCGACGAACGAGACGAAATCTCAGCAGTCTTGTGAGCATTTCTTTTCTGATGGTGTGTCTGTTGCTATACCATGTCCTGGCACTGGAACTGAACCAAAGTGCTTGGGTAACAGCCAATCACAGTTGTCACAGAGACGGGATAACCAAGGGGATGCCAGTGGTTTGGAGTGTTTTTCGTTCAGTAATTGGTTCTCTTCCAATGGTCTGCGCCGAGGTTCTGCAACATGGCCAGAAGAGAGACTACCTCTCTGGGATTTACCAGTTGCAGAAGATGAACACCAAGATTGTCATCAAAAGAAACTAAATGGCCATAATGGCGACGCCCACGACCAAGGATCTCGACTCGAAACATGGGGCCTTGTGATTGTCGTGGCTGGATCAGATGGAACTATAAAGACATTCCACAACTATGGATTGCCCATCAAGTTTTAGAAGCGCTGCTTGAATTAGCTCACTTTTCCCTGAGCTTCCAAAAGCAAAAGAGGTTTCAGAATATCAGAAAACATGGCATTTCATGTGGTTGATTCTTTTTCCTGTTTGTATCTTCCAACGGAAAAGCCTTTCTATTTTTTTATTTGTTCTAAGAGGTCCGAAATCTTGTAAATCTAAAGAGGCAGGCCACCATTTTTGCTTGTTTAGTTCTTGTGAATATTACCTGCCAAATGTAAATGAAATACGCTTAGCAGATTTCTAGTCATTTGGGTGCCTTTCTTCATGGGTTAATGTTAATTTTATTGCTTTTAATCTCTAACATGCCACACTTGGAGGAAAATTTGTAAATTTCTTCATAAGTAGTAGTCTTAAAATGGGTAAAAATTTATGTTCTTTTTTGCTTCGAAGCTCTAGTCGATTGAACGTATAGAGACTTATCCAATGTCCTCCAGCAAGGAACATTAAAAGAATGCCCTCCGAGTATCACAAACTTATATACCGAAACAACAAAATGATATCTATTTCCCTGCGATAATCACTACAAACAAAACACAAGCTCCAACTCCCCTTATTGATTGGGAAAGGAGCTGAGTGTGAGGCAGAACCCTAAACCCACTTTCAATTCCGCATTCGGCAGCCAAGAGAGACGAGAAAGACGGCGGTTTGTGAGGGGGTGATAATCGTTCTTTGTTGTTCGTTTCTTTAATGGCAATACCCATGTCCCTTATTCCCTGTTCCAGTTTTGCTTCTTATTCTTCCTCCTCGTTTCCATTGCAATCTCGTAATCCCTTCAAGCCCCATCGCCATGGTTTAAAGACGGATAATCCCACCTCAAATGGGTCGCTCGTTGTTAGCTGTTCCGGTCGCGAACTGGGTTCCAACTCTGACCCTTTGAACGGAAGGTATGGATATGCCCGCCTCGCCTGCCCCTGTATTTTTCTGTGTCATATGATAATTGCCTCCAAGTTATGGGTCCTGGGATATGGATGAAATCTTGAACGAGTGAATATAATTTGTTTATGGGAGATGGTTCGATTTCTAATGTTGGTTTGTTTTGGTTTTGAAGTTCCGGACTTCAGATTGTAATAAACACTTTAAACACAACAATATGTTTCTGAAGCTTCTGATGTAGAAACTCATTTTATTTCTCCTATGAGTTTCAACTTGTCTCCCTGACAAATTGCTGTTTTCTCTAGCATGAAGCATCAGATATCATCTATGGCTCCTAGCGGGATGACACTAAATGAAGCTTCCATGTCCATGCCATCGTATAAATGGCGAAGAGTATTGCTTAAAGTAAGCGGTGAAGCACTTGCTGGTGATCGGTTGCAGAATATTGATCCGAAGGTTGGTGTTTGAAGGATGATAGTCTGTTACAAGCATATATTGTTCTTCTTTTTATGATTTTTGGCACCTTGCATTCCTCTTGAGCTTCTTCTTGACTGCAGGTTACTATGGCGATTGCGAGGGAGGTTGCAGCTGTAACGCGTCTGGGCATTGAGGTAGCCTGACCTTTATTTGCGTATCCTGACCTTTATTTGCGTATGAGATATTTTTTCGAATTGAATCTCAATGTTGTAGCAGCAATAATCTGTTTACTGTTTGGAGAGATACAAATCCGTTGATAGAATGTGACTTGTTCTTGACCAACTTTCCTCGACTCTCGAACGAACTGAGTAAACAGATTTGGATATTCTGATTCTTCACTTGCGCACCCCTTATGTCTGTAAAGTAGGTGTGAGATCCCACCTCGGCTGGAGAGGGGAATGAAACATTCCTTATAAGGGTGTGGAAACCCCTCCCCTCCCTAGTGTACGTGTTTTAAAACCTTGAGAGAAAGCTCGGAAGGGAAAGCCCAAAGAGGATAATGTATGCTGGTGGTGGGCTTGGGTCTAGACACCGGGTGGTATGTCAGTGAGGACGCTGGACCTCCAAGGGGGTGGATTGTAAGATTCCACATCAGTTAGAGAGTGGAACAAAATATTCCTTATAAGAGTGTGGAAACCTCTCCCTAGTGGACGTGTTGTCAATATTTGCTAGCGATGGACCCAAAGAGGACAATACCTACTAGTGGTAGACTTGGGCTGTTACCTTAGGCGAATGAATATTAATGAATCTATAGCTTATTTTAGAGTAATGGAGTTCTGAAGCCAATTCTTTTTCCTTGTTTAGAACGTGCGATCGTTATGGATGATGCATTGTTTCAGGTTGCTATAGTAGTCGGTGGGGGTAACATTTTCCGTGGATCGTCGTGGGCTGGATGTAGTGGCTTAGACCGTTCATCTGCTGATTACATTGGGTAATTTCCTTTATACTATATGTTTCTAGACGTCGGCTGATCGTTAGCTACCACATTTCGATATTACTTACCTGCATACAAGCAACTTGAAAGTTTACACAAAATGAAGATGGAATAGGAATAGGAATATATCTCTATTATGTTGAATACGTGAATGAAACATGAAAACGATAACATATTCCACATGTTCTCCTCATGAAATCCTCATATGCTGGCGCACATTGTGTTACTATCTTTGAATTTTAGCTCTATATTTCAGGATGTTGGCAACAGTGATGAATGCTATATTTCTTCAAGCCACAATGGAGAGTATAGGCATTCCCACACGAGTGCAGACGGCGTTTCGTATGTCTGAGGTTGCGGAGCCATATATTCGACGTAGGGCTGTGAGGCACTTGGAAAAAGGCAGAGTTGTGATCTTTGCAGCTGGTATAGGCAATCCGTTTTTCACTACAGATACTGCAGCGGCCCTCCGTTGCGCAGAAAGTGAGTCAAATCGCGTTAAAAGTCTGTTTGGAATAACTTTTCAAGTGCTTAAAAAAATCGTTTGTAAATGCGTTTTTTAAACGTTTAGAAAGTCATTTCAAACCGACCTAAACTTTCTACTTTTTAACTAATTGCTGAAACATGTTTGGTGTTGTGAGATTTCATATCGGAGAAGAACGAAACATTTCTTATGAGGGTGTGGAAATCTCTCCTTAGTAGATGTGTTTTAAAATTGTGAGCCTGACAGCGATACAACACGGACCAAAGTGGGCAATACCTACTGGCGATAGACTTGGGCTGTTACAAATGGTATCAGAGCCAGACATTGGGCGGTGTGCCAGCGAGGACGTTGGGCCCCCAAGGAGGGTGGATTGTGAGATCCCATATCGGTTGGAGAGGGGAACGAAACATTCGTTATGAGGGTGTGGAAATCTCTCCCTAGTAGACGCATTTTAAAACCGTGAGCCTGACAACCATACAACACGGGCCAAAGTAGACAAGACCTACTAGCAATGAGCTTGAGTTGTTACAAATGGTATCAGAGCCAGACATTGGGCGGTGTGCCAGCGAGGACGTTGGGCCCCCAAGGAAGGTGGATTGTGAGATCCCATATCGGTTGGAGAGNGGAACGAAACATTCGTTATGAGGGTGTGGAAATCTCTCCCTAGTAGACGCATTTTAAAACCGTGAGCCTGACAACCATACAACACGGGCCAAAGTAGACAAGACCTACTAGCAATGAGCTTGAGTTGTTACAAATGGTATCAGAGCCAGACATTGGGCGGTGTGCCAGCGAGGACGTTGGGCCCCCAAGGAAGGTGGATTGTGAGATCCCATATCGGTTGGAGAGGGGAACGAAACATTCGTTATGAGGGTGTGGAAATCTCTCCCTAGTAGACGCATTTTAAAACCGTGAGCCTGACAACCATACAACACGGGCCAAAGTAGACAATACCTACTAGCAATGAGCTTGGGTTGTTACAAATGGTATCAGAGCTAGACATTGGGCGGTGTGCCAGTGAGGATGTTGGGCCCTCGACTGTGAGATCTCATATCGGTTGGAGAGGGGAACGAAGTATTCCTTATAAGGGTGTAGAAACCTCTCCCTAGTAAATGCGTTTTAAAACCGTGAGACTTACAAAACAGGCAATAACTACTAACAGTGGGTTTGGGTTATTATAGGTGGTCAGTAATTATTTATCTCTACCGCCCTAACTTTCAAAATGTCTATCCAGTTAATGCAGAAGTTCTGCTGAAAGCAACAAACGTTGACGGGGTTTATGATGATGATCCGAAACAAAACACGAATGCACGTCTACTCGAGAATCTTTCATACCAGGAAGTGACGTCGAAGGACCTTTCAGTGATGGATATGACAGCGATTACTCTATGCCAGGAAAACAACATTCCTGGTATGTATTGTATATCTCTTTATACAATAGATCACTGTTCTTCAAAATAATTGAATAAACAACGGAAGGCAACCCGAGCATTCTTGGCTTAGAATAAACTGAAGTAACGATCATTGTTCTTCCTGATGCAGTTGTTGTCTTCAATCTAACAAAACCTGACAACATCTCGAAAGCCATAAAGGGCGAGAGAGTCGGGACGTTGATCGGAGGAACATGGAACTCAAACGTAACAAGTACGTGACAGACGATTCTTGTATAGTAGGGATTTGACAGGAGATTTTGAGCAATATCTATATATATTTTCATATTGATAGCTGTTTTTGAGCTTCTGATCAGATTTAGTGTGTAAATAACTAAAGTAGACCTGAAATTCGTTGAATGGACCAAAGATTTTTCTTTCGGAACAATTTGCACGAGATTATTTAAGGTATTGAAATCTTTTTGTAAGATCTAAATCTCATCGCTAGTAGATATTGTCTGCTCTATTTCATACATATCGCCGTCAGCTTTACGGTTTTAACATGCTTTTACAAGGAGAGGTTTTCACACTCTTATAAATAATGTTTCGATTATTTTCCTCTTTAACCAGTGTGGGATCTCACATCCACTCACCTTGTTAATACAGGTTTGATGTCTGGCTCTTATACCATTTGAAACAGTCAAAGTCTACTGTAAATAGATATAGTTCAAACTTGTATTTAATAAATTATTTAATTTTTTTAATATTTTAGAGACTATATATAAAATCTTATCAATATTTTTAAAGATGAGATACTTGTAAAAATAGACCAATTTTTTTTTAACATTTTAATGTAATAATTAAATTTTGGTTGAAATTTCAATACGTCGTCGTTTCTGCTTGGGCCAAGGTCGAAGCCCAGAAGCTGCCTTTTCGGCTTCGTCCCTTTAAAACCCCCCGAAATGAAACTCGAGGGTTTTTCATCTTCGAACTCAGTCTTCGCTCTCTTTCCGCCATTAACAATGACGAAGTTCAGAAAGCTTGGTCGACCTGCAGCTCACCGAATGTCTATGCTGAGGTTGCTCACTTCTTTCAGCAACTATCAATTAAGTTTTATGTCCCAATTTTTGAACGTCTGTTCTCTTCTTTTGGCAGAACAATGGTTTCTCAGTTGGTGAAGCACGAGCGGATTGAGACTACTGTTGCGAAGGTATCCCTATTGACTTTCTTCTTATCATTTTTTGGAATCTCGATGTTTAGTTTTTCTGAATTTTGCTTTTCCAAGTGATGCATTAGCTTCATGTTCACCCGAACCCCCCTTCGGTTTCGTTGTTAGATTATTTTATCTTACTGAACTCTAAAGTTAATCGTAGGTTTGTTGCATTGTAAATGCGATTATCGGGAGGTTGAAAATTTTGACGTCTTGTATTGTCTGAACTGAGCTTAGGTTTTGTTTTTTTCTTAGAATCTGAATTTACAGATTTGGTTAGTTAGATATTTGTCATCTCTTTCCCCTTGGTTTGCATCTTTTCTGTTCCTTCAAATTTTAACCCCAAGCTTACTGTTGAAGGATATGTTTCATTCCTTGAGATCAAGTATAGATTTTTTTTATTTATAACATCAACACTGTTGTGAATTTATCACCATATTTTCAACTTATTTCTGCATTTTTCTTTCAACCTGTTTGCAGGCTAAAGAAATTCGGCGGCTTGCTGATAACATGGTTCAATTTGGAAAAGAGGTCCGTAGAACTTAACTTTTGTTTTCCCTTCTCAATGTTTTATTTTTTTTTTTCTTCTTTTCCCCTCACTGGGGAGGGTGTGTTCTGCCTCCAAATTTTGATATAGGTTGTATAGTAAGAAGCACAGACAGTTTAGTCTGGCTCACATGTTCATTTTTGACAGACACTCCAACACTTATTGGACACTTCGTAACACTAGATTTGTATTAGATACTAGTTGTAGAAAGCCAATATTAATCCAACATTTGTAAACTTCTTTAGCATACTAAATAGACAAATAATAGTATAGGACGAAAATAAATTTTGAGTGTAAAATACATCAAATTCATTGTATATAAATCCATAAACTTATTGAATTTAAAATTTTCATATTGTATAAAAAGGATGTATATTTAAAAAAAAAAAATGCAAATTTTAACAAATGTGTCCTTACTGTGTGTGTCTGTGTCCTAGATTTGTAAAAAATGACATGTCATTGTGTTTGTATCGTATCCGTATCCATGCTTCATAGGTTGTTTTCTTTATCAATTAGATTATATATGAAATTATACTTCAATTATTAGATGAAGGGCTAAATGGTAAAGGACAAATGCAAATGCCATGGTTCAAGATTTAGCTGATCTAAAATGAGTATGATGTAATAATTCGAGGGAGAGAAAAAGACAAGGCTCGGAGGTTAAGTTTTGCAATTCAATTCTAATGCAGGAAGCAAGAGATGGTATTGGGCATGGGCTTGATAAATATGTTTGCCGGTAACGGAGGAAAATTGGATTTGGTCTGCAACCAACATTGGAAGCTAAGCCAAATAAGGAAGAGGCATGTCCAATTAATGAGTTAGACCACTAAAATTTGGGCCCAGGATGATGCCTTCATTTCAAATCATTCTTATTTCAGTATAAGTAATCCTCAAAAGATGGAAACCATAAATTAATAACGGGATGTCAGTATGGAGAAAGAAAGACCTTCAGAAGGAAGATTTGGTGTAACTATTTGAAAGTGAAGAGGAAGCTGTGGTTTGAAGTTTGTTGGATGTTGTTGAAATTAAAGTAGCACTGCAGTTCCAGAGACATCATATAATGTTTGATTTTAAAATGTAATGACTCTGCGTTACATAAAGGTGTATATAGTTGAGTTGTCTTTTGCTTACTCTTATTTGCACCAAGGACACTGTCATTTACTTCAGACTCTAACATGCTGTGATCGAGAAGAAAACCAATGAAATCAACCACAGAGTTGTTGTAAAGGAATTATTAAATGATCTTTGAAGTTGATTAAACTGTCTTTGCTTCAAAGATAGTTTAATAATTATTGTACACCTTGAATTGCGTGCAAAGACACTCTTCCTGTGTTTTGTTCTCAAAAGGGTGCACTCTCTATAGGAGGCATGAGAAGGATTTGGATCTTCTGTTTGAGACTGCCAGTTCGCTCTTCATATTCGGAGTTTATGGCTTAGAGATTGATGGTAGAGCCCAGTTTGAGGGGGTGATTTTGGCTCTCCTTTCAAGGAGCATGGTAGAGTTTTTTGGTAGGCCAATTTCTTTGTGTTTTATGGGGATATCTGGTTTGGGAGGAATAATATGATTTTTAGAAAGGTCAAGAGATCAATTGATGGTGTTGGGTAAGTGACTAGACTTAATGCCTCTTTCTGGACAGCAATCACTAAATCTTTTTATAATTATGAGCTTTGTCTTGTTCTTGTGACTGTCCTTTTTTGTAGTTAGAGGCGTACTCTATTTTTTTTGTGTGTGTGTTAGGTCGGGTGTTTTATGTATGTCCTTGTATATTCTTTCATTTTTTTTAATGAAATCGTGGTTTATTATAAGAAAATTTTTATTTCACTATTTTCATTTTATTCATAAAAGATAAACATGTTGCGACTTTCTTTTCTCCCAATCTAGGGTTCCCTTTGTGCTGCAAGGCATGCTGCTGCATTTGTAAGAGGCGATGATGTCCTTCACAAACTATTCACAGAACTGGCTTATCGATACAAGTGAGTTCCAAATTTGTTAACCCGTAGTTCATGCTTTTATTTGGAAGTATTAAATTGGACGGATGTTATGTTCAACAGAGATAGAGCTGGTGGATATACAAGACTTCTTCGGACACGTATACGTGTTGGCGATGCTGCACCAATGGCTTATATAGAGTAAGTGCTTACCATCGACAGCTGCTATGTTTCTCCAGTTATACAGCTGTATTAAATAATCGATAGATGATGTACGAAACGGTTAGAAATAAATACTGCTGGTACAGTTTTTATTTGACTATTTGTGCTGTTGATACAAATTTATTGAAAGTTGAATCAATGTATGAATTCATAATTTCTCTATGCTATCGATACAGATTTATTGATAGAGAAAATGAGCTGAGGCAGTCGAAGCCTCCAAATCCCCAACCACCTCAGAAGGCTCCAATGGATCCATGGACAAGATCACGGCTTAGCAAGCAGTTCGCACCACCCAAAGAGATCAAATCTGACTCTGAAATCTGATACAACTTTTATGTTCAATAAAGAAAGTTTTTCTTTTCCAAGAAGTTCACCCCCACCCAAATTGTTTTGCAAACTTCAGATGTAAACCAAACGAGTATAGACACTGCTTTACATACATTATCTCTTGCTCCATAGGCTGAAAGCTTTCCCTCAAACAAAGAGTAATTTTCGGCTTTCAAAGTTGCCCATTTCTTGAGAATTCTATCCGAGTCTCTCTCAAGTCTCATCTCAACTTGTTAGAAAAACATATGGTTTAGGTGTTTTTGGATGAATATAGGTGAGGACCAAGGGCGATGGTGGACTGTGCATCGTCTTGTAGACAGCCAGCAATTGCTTTGCAGCAGCAACAAAATTTGGACATGGCTTCAAATATTGCGAGCCAGGTATGACCGAGAGCCTTCTCTCCCCAACCCAGGTCTCTGCGTGCATGCATTTTATTGTATTGCCATGTGTCAAGTTATCACATGTGTAGTAGCCTACTTGCTTTGGAGGCAAATTGGTGACGGTTGGTTCACGGGAAAAGGAAAGCGGGTCAGATTTGTTTTTGTTTTTGTTTTTTGTCTTTCCTTTTCTTGAGAATTAATGAATTTCCTTCCTGTAATGTGTATAACTGGACATGTGACATTTTCAGTGGGGATCTCTTTAAAATTAGTGCATTTTTTGTGTGTCATTTCCATAAAATGCTGAACTTTTTTTTCTTCGTCTTTAGAATGTTCGTCACAATTACAGTGGGGGAATACAAACCACTCAGTTTTGAGGTTAGCAGCTTTTTTGATGAACTTTGTTTGTTTAGTTTTTCATATTAAAATTTAAAATAAAAAAAAATGGTAGTTTTTAAGAACTTTGTAGCAATGAAATTTAAAAAACGATTGTAAATATTGAAAACAGAAAATTAAAAATGAAAGCATTATAACGGAGGGTTTAGTTTTTGAAAGAAGAAATTTAAGATATAGGAAGGCAAAAAAAAAAAAAAAAAAAAAAAAAAAAAAAAAAAAAAAAAAAA